CGTGATGATCCAATGATCAACACCATAAGCAAGACCTTAGAAGCACAAGAGAAGACCCAAGATATCAAGCAAAGTCCAAGCACGAAGATAGGAACCAAGCCGGATGCAAGATCACGAAGAAACAAGCTCACAGAGGTGATCAGACGCTGGACAGCTCATAGAGGTGACCGGATGCTGGACCGGATGCTAGACAGCTCACAAAGGTGACCGGACGCTGAGCAGCAAAGTGACCGGACGCTGGGTGCCAGAGTCCGGTCAACATCAGTAAGGTTCCAGAGAGCCATTTTCGTGATCGGACGCGTCCGATCAGTGCTGACCGGACACTGGTCAGAGTCCGATCAGTAGCAGAAAAGCGAGATTTCATCCTCAACGGTTACTTTCTCAGTGGGGCTTATAAATAGACCCCACAACCAGCTATTTGAGTGTGGTGGAGCTGAGGAAACATATCTAGGGTGTTGATACACCATTTTAGTGATCTCCACTTGCATAATGCTTAGTGTTTCATTAGGTGATTAGCGTAGGTGCTTTGCAAAGTGCTTAGGTTGATTAGACCACCGCTTATGCGCTTGCTCTAGGTTTAGGCCTAGTGTTTAGTGAGGTCTGCATACCTCTTACCACTCGGTGCTTGCACGCACCATTGTTGTACATCGGAGGGGCTTGTCGTCTTGCGAGATCACACCAACCGCGTTTGTGGTGTGGCCGTCACCGTGTATCAGAGGGAACAAGGCCCGCGACGTTTCGACCGGAAGCTTGATAGTCAAGACGGTGGGGAGCATCCGGGAGAGGCTTGCCGAAGGCACGTCGGAGACCCACTTGTGTGTGGGGAAGGCCCGAGGCTATCCACGGAATTATCCGATTGGGAGCTTGGCCCTTGTGAGGGATTCCTTACAAGGGGCTCCAACGAGGACTAGGGGAAGCTTGCTTGCTTCTCGATACCTCAGTAAAAATACCAGAGTCGTCAATGGAAGTTTGCCTATTTCTACCTTACTCTTTAGCTTTCGCATTTATATTGATTGCATTACTCCTTTTGCGGTAGAGATAGCAACACACTAGCAAAAACGTAGTTGCACATTGAGATAGTTTATCTTTTGTATAGGTTTTGCTAAGGTTAGAAAAAGAGGCCATAGTTTAGAGTTAGAATTTTAAGTTGCCTAATTCATCCCCCTCTTAGGCGTCACGATCCTTTACACATATCATACAATACACCAAAGGCATAGGACATAGGGTATTACGTCGATCAGACGGCCCGAACCTGTCTAAATCGTTGTCTCTGTGCCTTGTGTCACCATCCGGTTCCTGATTACGCGCACCCCCACCGATCAATCTACTTTCATGGGATACCCCTTGGAGGACTGCCGAGCATCTTTTGTCGACAGTTGGTGCCCACCGTGGGGCTCGTGCGCACTGACCCCTGGCGAACCAGATGGTGTAACTCAAGATCAACATCCTTCGACAACCACGGCGCACGTCTTCATACGCGGATTGACACCGCCAAGCTCCGACTACGTCCGTCCTACTCCAACACGAGATCAACTTCGTTTCAGCCATTAAGCGAGCCGCTAAGCGAATTGCTCGCGACGCCGACCAGATAACGCCATACGCCATCGACCAGATGTTCTATCTAAAGCTAAGTAACGCTTTAATATTCTTCTAAAGATTCTCCAATCTTCGTATATCGCCATAATGTTTTTTCCAAGCTGTTTTCTCCATGTTTGCTCTCCAAACGATTTTCTTTCATGTATACCATCTTAAAGATGACATACAGCTAAGTCTAAGGTGAACCCCCAGACAGTCATGTTGATGCTCGGATGTCCCCAGAGATGGCTCTGTCTCCGGCTCCTCCCTACACGTGCACGAGTGTCTGCCCTCTACGTTATGGGTGGTCGGCAGCGGCTCCTTAGCGACGCTTTGTTCTTCCTACACGCACACGGGCTCCGCGCTCCGCGTTATGGTTAACAGCCTAGCTAGGGCTGGAGACTCAGCTACACACTAACTGGTCGGGCGGTTTGTATTAAATATAAATACATCTTCAGAATAACACTAAGTGTTCACACCAACTGATCGCCTAGCTACATACGCTATTTCATCACCGTTGCTGATTCTTCTCTGGAGTTCATATACTTTTACATCATGTACTACCCATTATATATATTTGTATTGCAGGATCATCGTCCAGGTGATCAGACCACCTGGTGCTCGGACTTCTTCACCGATCAACCGGTCGAACCGCTAGGTTCATGGACTTCGTCGCCGACCAGTTGATCGGACTGCTTGCCGGTCACTTCTACTCAATGCTCACTTCGCCGCCGACTAGTTGACCAGACTGTTCGTCGCTCGTGCTTCATCATTAGCTACGCTAGGGGCTTACTAGCTAAGCTGGAGACTCCTCGGTGCTCGGACATCGCCAGCTACATCGGGAACTCCTCGGTGATCGGACATCGCCAGCTACGCGCGGGGACTCCTCGGTGCTCGGACATCGCCAGCTACGTCGAGGACTCCTCGGTGCTCGGACATTGCCAGCTACGTCGGGGATCGCTCGGACATCACCAGCTACGCTGGGGACTCCTCAGTGTTCGGATTTTTCGTGCAAGCATCGCCAGCTAAGCTGAGTACTCCCTTGGCGGTCAGATCTTGCTATGTCTCATCGGTGTGCTATCAAGCTGCTCCATGCTGTTCGGATCAGGGTGTTGATCTTGGGCAGCATGTCTGGGGTCTTGATACGCGCATGTCAGATGACGTCGGCAAACTTTCAGACTTCTTTTCTTTGACCCTGCTACAAGGTTCATTCTTCATCTTCCAGCAGCCTCGGGGACTAAGTGGCTATACTTCACCTGGCGGTAAATGTAGTGCTTATTTCTTGATTTACCCTCTTTATTGACGGAGTCTAAGTGGCTACACTTCTCCTAAGTGGAAGAATTTTTAAATTTTATCTTGAGCCCCTTACATCCTTCTAGCAAGCCTTACTTAGCTAAGTCCGAGGTCTCCTAACCAGTTAAACTGGTCGGCATCAACCTTCACCACCTAGGTCACCAGTTAAACTGGTCGGTTTTGACTTCCACTGCTCAGATCACCAGTTAAACTGATCGGCTTCACGTCAAAGTGCTCGGACTTGTTCAAGACAGCGTTGCTCAAAGGATACAAGGCGCTCGGGGACTAGCTGTGGGAGATATGACCCCCGGTATCCATAAGACAAGACATGGACCGCACCATCAGAGGTGGCCCACCACAAGATCAAGGCGTGCACGGCACTGATCGACGTGCATCATAAGATATTATATAATACCAAATAGGATATTTTCTTGTAACCCTACCCCTCCAGAGTATATAAGGTGAGACAGGGGTCCCCTAGTCGACATCTACATACATATCATACAATACACTAAAGACATAGGACGTAAGGTATTACGTCGATCAGACAGCCCGAACCTGTCTAAATCGCTGTCTCTGCGCCTTGTGTCACCATCCGGTTCCTGATTACACGCACCCCCACCGATCAATCTACCTTCGTGGGATACCCCTCGAAGGACTGTCGAGTATCTTTTATCGATGCTCTATATTTCTCACATCGTGCCAGTTGATTGCAAATATAAATCCAGCGGTATCAAATTTGTAAGGAACAATATACTTCATCCGTTTCAAATTATAAGTCGCTTTTATTTTTTTGGTACACCAAATTTGCTATGTATCTAGATATAACATAAGTCTAGATACATAGCAAAATCTATGTACCAAAAAAATCAAAGCTATTTATAATTTAGAACAGAGGTAGTACATGTTTTTTATATTGAGTGTTAGTCAAAGAATAACAAAGTTTAAATCTTACGTTGCGCACACATCTTATACAAAAATAAAAGGAAATAATAGCATGTAAAGTTCGATAAACCCCATTCCATTTCTTTCTACTGCTTTCTCAAAATAGCCTATAAAATACTTAATTTGTTCCAAATTATAAGATGTTTTAGTTTTTATAAATACATTGTTTTTACTATATATTTAGACATAGTGTATATTTAAGAGCTATGTATGTAGAAAAACCAAAACATCTTATATTTGGAATGGAAGTAGAACTTTAGGAAATGTGACAGGGTCATGCGCGCTGAAGGATAAGACCCGAATCATAGTAATACGGGGGCATGGTCTCATGCAGGATTTCATCCTCACATGCTTTCAAGGGCATGTTTGTTTGAACGCCTTGCTTAGGGAGCTCTGCTAGGCAGCAACATCCTACTCAAATCGAACGTCTAGTGATGATGCTTGACACAAATGTGATGCTCAAGGTAGAAACTAGACACGTGGTCCAAGTAAGTTGGGAGGCCTGCTTCATCGGCTGCGTTCGCTGGTCTGGTTTTTCCATACCAGCCGGCTGCTCCTTCTCACAAAACACTGTTCATCAACCAGCCGCTACAGTGTTTCTCTCTCACAACAACCAGCCAGTTTTAGCCAAGTTTCAGACCAGCGAACGGGGCCATCATCACCAACTTTATGCCCCTGCGTTAAAATGTGTTGTTTGAACTTCCTCACCGAACTTCTTGAGTTTGCCAGGTCTTGCACACAAGGAGGTCATGTTTCCAATATGTGTGAGTGTTTGTGTTTGGTTGCTTTCACAACCCTACATCGTATATTCTGCATGAGCGAGTGGATATATTAGTCAAAAAGAATGTTGTTTGGTTAGTTGCATGGGTGGATGAAGTAATCTCATGTAAGGACGTTTGGGTGCCTGTATATAGATAGATACATGAATATTTTGTCATAGAATGACATGTGAGGCGACATAAGATGCAATGCACACTTTCAGAGAAAAATATATTCAATTTCAGGAGCCCAACAGGGCTTGAATTGATTTGCCGGGCCGGCCCACTAAAAATGCAATGCCATTCAATGCGACCCAGCACACTTAGCCCAAATGGATCATGGATGTTTTACAAAATAACCCTCCCTCCTCCTTGTATTACGTATGGAGTCTCTCTTCTTCTCCCTCCCGCCGCCGCGCCGCGAATGCGATGCCGCCGCGGCCGCTGCCGCTAGCAGCAGCCGATGTAGCTTCCGTAGTCCGCCGCTCTCACGCGGCAACCTCTTCAGAACTCACAGCCTCCACGCTCCCCGCCTACCGCGCGCTCATCCGCGAGCTCGTCTCTGCCGGCCGCCTCGACGACGTCGACGCCGCCCTTGCCTCTGCGCGCTCCCACCTCGCCCCAGACTCCCTCCAACCGCTCTACGTAGTCTCCATTCAAGCTTACGCCCGCGCAGGCCGCCTCCATGCCGCCGTCGACGCTTTCGAGCGCATGGACCTCTTCGGCTGCCCGCCCGCCGCCCCCGCCTATAACGCCATCATGGACGCCCTCGTCAACGCCGCCTACCACGACCAAGCTCACAAGGTCTACGTTAGGATGCTTGCCGCCGGCGTTGCGCCCGACGCCCGCACCCACACCGTCCGCCTCAAGTCCTTCTGCCTCACCGGCCGTCCTCACGTCGCCCTGCGCCTGCTGCACAGCTTGCCGGAGCGTGGCTGTGACGCCAAACCGCTCGCCTACTGCACGGTCGTGCGGGGCCTCTATGCCCACGGTCACGGTTATGATGCACGTCACCTGTTCGATGAAATGCTCGGCAGGGATGTCTTCCCTGACGTTGCCACTTTCAACAATGTTTTGCACGCTCTTTGCCAGAAAGGGGATATCATGGAGTCGGGGGCACTTCTGGCCAAGGTCCTCAAGCGGGGCATGTCAGCGAACAAGTTCACTTGCAACATATGGATCCGTGGCCTCTGTGAAGGCGGTAGGTTGGAAGAGGCTGTTGCGCTAGTGGAAAGGATAGATGCCTACATTGCGCCAGATGTTGTCACTTACAACACATTGATGCGTGGCCTTTGCAAGGACTCCAAGGTCCAGGAAGCTGCACAGTACCTTCGTAGGATGATGAATCAGGGCTGCATACCAGATGATTTCACCTACAACACCATCATTGATGGCTACTGCAAGAGGGGCATGCTGCATGAAGCTACTGAGCTTCTGAAAGATGCTGTATTTAAAGGTTTTGTACCGGACCGGGTCACATATTGCTCACTGATCAATGGATTGTGTGCCGAGGGTGACGTCGAGAGGGCCCTGGAGCTCTTCAATGAGGCACAAGCAAAAGATTTGAGGCCTGACCTTGTCGTCTACAACTCTCTTGTCAAGGGGCTCTGTCGCCAGGGCCTGATCTTGCATGCCTTGCAGGTCATGAATGAGATGGTCGAGGATGGCTGCCGTCCTGACATTTGGACGTACAATATTGTCATCAATGGCCTATGCAAAATGGGAAATATTTCAGATGCGGCAGTTGTGATGAATGATGCCATTGTGAAAGGATACCTTCCAGATGTCTTTACCTTCAACACATTGATTGATGGCTACTGCAAGAGATTGAAGCTGGACAGTGCACTTCAGCTTGTTGAAAGGATGTGGACGTATGGCATTGCCCCTGATGCTATCACATACAACTCGGTTTTGAATGGTCTTTGCAAAGCTGGCAAAGCCAAGGAAGTCAATGAAACATTCGAAGAGATGATCCTTAAAGGATGCCGACCAAATGCTAATACTTACAACATACTGATAGAAAATTTTTGCAAGATTAATCAACTGGAAGAGGCTTTTGGGGTGATAGTCAGGATGAGTCAAGATGGGTTAGTTCCTGATGCAATTAGTTTCAACACGCTGATTCATGGATTCTGCAGGAATGGTGATCTTGATGGAGCATACCTACTCTTTCAGAAGTTGGATGAGAAAGGGTACTCTGCAACAGTTGACACTTTCAACATCCTGATCGGTGCATATTCTAGCAAGCTGAATATGCAAATGGCTGAAAAGATTTTTGGTGAAATGATCAGCAAAGGATATAAACCTAATTTGTATACTTATCGTGTTCTAGTTGATGGGTCGTGCAAGGCTGCAAATGTTGACCGTGCGTATGTGCATCTGGCAGAAATGGTAAGCGAGGGTTTTGTTCCATCGATGGCTACTTTTGGCCGTGTATTAAATTCACTTGCAATGAATCATCGAGTTTCTGAAGCTGTTGCTATTATTCACATTATGGTGAGAATGGGAGTTGTTCCTGAGGTTGTTGATACCATCTTGAGTACTGATAAGAAGGAGATAGCTGCACCGAAGATACTTGTTGAGGAATTGATGAAGAAGGGTCACATTAGTTACCCTACCTATGAAGTTCTTCATGAAGGAGTGAGAGATAATAAATTAACTAGAAATGCTCGAAAGGCAGATGCATCTAATATGTTTGCTTCACAACATCATAAAAGATCATATCAATAAGCTAATAAAGCTTTGATGTGCCTGAGCATAAGATCTGTTTTGCTATTAGTTGAGTTCTTCAGATTCATGGATGCTGCTGTACACTGTTATTTCAGGGCCTTATTGCTCAGAATATGGAGATTATCTTATCTAGGGCCATGTTTAGATTGCAAAAAATTTCAACCCGATGAATAGTAGCACTTTCGTCTTATTTGGTAAATATTGTCCAATCGTGGACCAACTAAGCTCAAAAGATTCATCTCGTGATTTCCAATTAAACTGTGCAATTAGTTATTTTTTTTACCTACATTTAATGCTCCATGCAAACGGCTAAAAATTGATGTGATGGAGAGAGAGTGAAAAAACTTGAAATTTGAAGGTGATCTAAACAAGGCCCTAATTGTATGAATACAATGACCCATGGCATTTCCTATGTACGTTATGAAAGCCCATGTTAGTTCAACTTCATGATAATTCTAAGTATTCTAGATATTTTAGGACAAATTAAGAGAACATACAAAAGACACATATACCCTTACTTCATTTCCTAATCAGATGCTATCACCAGCGTGATTAATGGAGATTAGTTGATAAATTGCAAGTAACGATATAACACCTACCAAATTTGTGCTACAATTCCCCCCTAAACCCCCTTATATTTGGGTACAATTTTGAATGTTTAAATGCGCTATATTAGAGGACTGAGGGGGGCAATCATCATTATACTCTGTAGAGTATCTCATTTCAGCTAGTATTTTTTTTTTCATTCTGAATGTCTGAGTAATGGCCATGCGGCTGTTGATGAAAGGTGCTTCATTGCTTGAATTCAATATTGGAAGGCTCCTGTTATTCATAGGAGATGCTCGTGGAATTGTGAGTAATTTTGCCATTTTCTATGACTTTTTCTTACAGATTTCATGTGAAGTAACCTCATCCACATCCATCGTCTTATTTGAATGCAGTCCTACTTGGGGTACATATTGAAACACTATTTTGGGGCATATTCCAAGTTACTCTGTAAATTACGAAGACACGGCCAAAATCATTTATAAGTTTGTTGTAAGTTCTATAGGCATATAAGCAGTACTGACATGTTATTGGGTCTTGATTAATTAAATTTTCTCAAATGCTTTCTATGATCTGTTAAATGCAGTCTGTTGTGCTCTTCTGACTGAGCTTGTGACAATATTCTGAACGACCTACTGTCTGTTGCTGCTGGTGCTTCTGTATGTTTCCTCTGCCATTCAGATATTCAGTAAAGAAGGATGACAGGCACCCCCATTGTGAAGTTATTCCCTTAATTTTCTTTGTGCAACCTCATTGGTATTTTTCTACACGACATCTAGCTCTAATAATCTTAGTAACACTTAGTTTGTGCCTGTAATATTGCTGCACATGCATTATATTCTAGGCTAACTTGTATTTGCAAATAGAGGTATCAGTATGGGCTTCCAATCTACTTCTTTGTCAGTTTGTCCTGTTTGAGAAAGCATCCAAGACAAGTTCCAATTCTATATAGACAGGACATATAATAGTTATGGAAAAGCTTTCGGTATTAGGTACAATTAGAGTAGTTTTGGTATGAGTGGACCAACAGATCATTTTTTTAGAGAGAGAGGTGGACCAAATGAATTAACTACAGGTAGGAATCAACACAATTAATTAAACTACATGTACCAGACTGACAGGGAGAAGAAGTCTTTAACTTTGTTGACGCTTTCCAAGACCTGCCTGGCCAGTTAAGCCCTCTTAATAAGGCTGTGCCAATTGATCCTTATCAGCTTATGTCATGCCGGCAGAAAAGGGAAGAGACACTCAAAGGAAGAGAGCACCATATTATATATTCAACCATCACAGCTCACCTACCATACGTGTGCCTTTACCAATAAAAAATGAGGAGGCAATGCAACATGGGTGTATTCAGAACAATACCTACTATATATGTATATGTACTATTTGTCTTGTGCATTAGTAGTATTCAGTGCATAGTGATGCAATTGATGTAGATTCTTGGCCTCAACCAACCATTGTGATGGCAAAGAAAAATTTAAGGACCATGCAGATTAATGTGTTGACTTGTTGCAAGATTGAACACACACACACACAACATAAAAAGGTTATGGAATTAGATGCCTTGACAAACAGGTATACTGGTAGCTTGTCAATCGTTCCTTTCTTGAAGTCTTGTCAGCATTGCCAATTATCATGTGCTTATCAATCTTTGTTTTTCTGCGTGTGCTGTTAATTTTCTGTAGTAGAAGACGTCCTCTATATATTTGTGAGAAGGGATCTCATCTTTAGTTTAATCGAAAAGTCAAAGGTCTCAAGGCAGCTCATGTCCAGGCAGTGAGAAGGGAACCAACAAGGACCCATTTGCCTTCCTGCTCAGCCAAGCTTTCATTGGCACCACTTCTAGGCTCTGATCTCTTGTATTCTCTGTTCTTCTACAGATCGATCATATTCTTATTTCAGGTCTGATTAAACCCTTATATGCTACAATCGAACCTTGTCTAGCATATCTTTTGTGTGTCTTGCACTCAATAATTTTCTTATTTCGTAACGTCCAAATCGCAGTCTTTGTTTGTTCTTGCAGTAATTTCCCCTCCTTTTTCAGTTCACCTTTTTTTTGTGAATAAAAAGAACCTCAAATTCATAGAGCACAAGATGTTCATTGACTTGCCTAAAATATGATCAATCTGCTCTTTTCGCTCTGAGCTTCTAAATCTGGGAGTTAATTTGTCCCCCATGTCTTCTGATGTCCGAGTCATAAACCTGCAGCCCCAGGCCTTCAGGTTCAAAGCTTCACTCTCCAGACTTAAGGAGCTGCTTTCAGGATGTTGCCTCTTGAAAATGATATTGAGCACTGAAGTTGCTTGATTTTATTCTCGCAAGGAGGTTAAGTGAGGGGAATTAATTAAGGACAATTAGGAGAGTTATGGGAGTTGTGCTTCTGGGTTTCTTGGGCCAGCTAATCGAACGGCGAGCTTCTCTGCGGTGGAAGCAAGCGGGAAGAGCATCTTACCGCTGCAGCTAGAGCCTCCTGATCTTTCTTACTTCCTGCTACTTATATATGTAATTCTCCTAGTTTATTCATGTACCTTTATGCATGAAATTTTAGCTGAGATGAGTACACATATCATACAATTGTTACAAGGCCTGTGTTCTGATGGGCTATGGAAGTATGGTGTCTTCTGGTCATTCAAAAGCGAGACGAATGGATGGTAAGTCTATTTGTTTGTTATCTATCACAACACTATTGAACTAGTATTCATGAAAATTCAAAGAAAATAAAGTAACTCCGATTCTTGTATCAAGCCAAAGAGTAACTAGTGCCCCACATACGATCTTCAAGTATGCTCAAGTAACTTTCCACAACATAAAGTCATTGTTCTAACTAGACCTGCCATGGTTGAAACTGAATGAGAACATTAGCCAAAAGTCTACACTAGAAGTTGGCATGGATGAGCACAAACTTGGTATTGAGAAATTGCACTTTGTAGTATATCTTCATCCCACACTTTTATAATCGGTAAATATGTTCTGTAGGATCTTGACTTGGGGTGATGGATATGTCAATAAAATGATAGAAGACAGACGAATGGGAGATCTATCTGCTGGCCCCACTGTTCATAAGAATCAGATAATACCTTCCTCGTGCTGCAACAAAAGCTATCAATTTTGCCCCATTGAGGCAGCACTGATGAGAATGCCTAGCCATTTGTACCCTCTTGGAGAAGGGTAAGCATGCTTGCATACTACCATCTCAAGTTTCTTTCAGTTAATGTTGAATGCACATGTTTGTGACTAATAGTATTTTTCCAAGTTCTGCGGTTATTGTATGTAACATTTCCAAGTTCCAACTTTGTCAGGATTATTGGTGAAGTAGCACTTACAGGACAACATTGCTGGATTTCTGCCAATGAGCTTTGTCCAACAGCTATGCATAAGGTGAGTTGATTTACAGTTAGCTTTACATAACTATTTTACAGTTATGTATGGGCATAGCACATGATGTGGTTTCAGCACTTATATTTTCAGTACCAAGAAGACTGGCAGCTTCAGTTTTCAGCCGGAATCAAGGTAACCGACACCGACTTATATTTTTCAGTTATCATAGACAATTATGCCTGTATTTGCTGGGCCATCCTTTAGTTCTTCTTTTATTTTCTTAAGAGAAACCTATTTGCTTTTTTGCTTTTCTTATATAAACAAAAATTTACCACAGTAGGGGCTTCCCCTATTGTTTTTGCTAAAAAAATTGTTTCCTGTATTAAACAGCTGCACGGCAAACATCCTGCTAGACTAAGCTGATGGTCATTGTTTCTTACCTGTAGACGGTTCTGCTTGTACCAGTGGTTCCTCACGGGGTTCTTCAGCTGGGCTCTTTAGATATGGTATGCTCAACTTGTTTAATAATTTTTTTGACATGATTAGTTTTTGACAACCACTGTGTTGTTTCACTACATTGTCCCACTCCCATCAAGTGAGGAATAGCATTGCTTTAGAGAGTCTGAATCATTGCATTGCTTCATAATTGGTATGTTTACTTCATAATGTTTTTGCAAATTCCCTTCAGGTTTTCGAAAGTGCAGCGTTGGTGGCACTCATAAAAGACATGTTTCATAAGCTTTGTGACGCTTTGGTTTCTCATGCTTCTTTATCCACTGGGTCTGCCTACTCAAATAATTTGAGGCTACAAACTGCAACTCTATCAATCAATCATCCAGATGCTAGCTTGATCGATAGTTCTGCTCAGATCTTGAATGTTGATCACCACAGTTTAACACATCCCTTCAGTACATCGGAAGTTCCAATATTAGAAGACATCACTATAGGTTCTTACAGAACTAGCCCAACAGGTTGGCCTAATGGACTGTTGGGCGATAATGGAACCATTGGGCATGAATATTTCGAAGGCTTTTCTCTGACAGATATGTCACATTGGAATCAAAAGAATACTCATGGCAGCACTATTGTTCTAAATGATGGTGTAATGATTTCGAATACTTCAATTCATTCAG